TATAAGAGAGAGAGAGAGAGAGAGAGAGAGAGAGAGAGAGAGAGAGAGAGAGAGAGAGAGAGAGAGAAAGAGAGGGGAAATCTTCATGAATTTTAGCCAGAAGAAGGCTGCCTGCAGAGCAGGAAGTGAGGAAACTGGTCAAGACTGAGAGATGATAGCAGATGATAGCAGATGTGCCCTGAAGAGATGGCCTGGGCTGTAGTAGACACTGTTGTCTCCCAGTGTCCATCATCCTCAGCGTTAATAAATGTTCAGCTATCTCTTGGTGGGCGGGCAATGTGGGAGAGACAGTCTAGATTTGGGGTGTTTGCCAATTTCTGTGGTATAAATATCCCCAAGGCTGATTTGCAGGCAATATCGATGGCAGCATGGGGTGGGGTAGAGGGAATGCATGCATGGCTCTCATAAGCCTATGTGAGCCAGCTCCAGGTCACAGCTGAGTCATCTCCCCCTTGTTTTTACCATTAAGAAGGTCCCTCTGAATTTCATCAGGATAGATGGCTACCTGACTTAGGAACTACATTTCCCAGACTTTCTATTAGAAATGATCATATAAGTAAAATCTAGTCAGTGGACTGTAAATAGGAATAATCTAAGGAACTTCTGTCACATTCTTAAAGAGCCTCTGGTTGACCCTACTTATCCTCTTTTCCCCTTTTTAGGCCAGAGTCCAATATGGTGCTGATGAAGATAACACCATGGGGCCTGTAGGACCAGTGAACTAGAAAGAACCTGGATCTTTGCACAACCTCCTGGAGCAGCCCCTGGACTGCTCATGTACTTCTGTACCACTTTGTAAGAGAGACATCAGTCAATGTGTATCTTAATACTTGTATTTTGGAAGCCTGGCTTGGTGCATGTCTCTAGTCCCACTATTCTAGGAAACTGAGGCTGGAGGATCACAAGTGCTCGCCAAGCCTGGGAAACTGAGTGACTTAAAATAAAAAAATTAAAAAGTTATTGGTGTAGTTCAGTATGAATGCCCTGGGTTTAATCCTCAGCACCCAAAACAAACAAACAAACTAACCGCAAACAAAAAACTTGTATTTTGGAGTCTCTTTACTATGGCACCTTACTCTGAATATTAATATTCAGCCCTAGAGCCACCCGAGAACTGATTCATTTTGTGAATATCTTTCCCACAACCCCATCCTCCCTTTTAAACTGTCCCAAATGATTCTGGCTGTATTGTAATAAAAATACTAATATTTGTTAGGCTAACCTACAGAAACCCTCTCAAAATCTCAATGGGATTAAAAACACCAAAGATTTGTCACTCAAGTCAAATGACAGCTGCAGGTCATTTAAACTTCTGTTTGACATATCTTCGTGTTCTAGGTCCCAGACTTAAGGAGCTGCCTGTATATTAATTTGAAGACAGAAAGAAACATACAGTGGGTAAGTCCTGCAGTGGCTCTTAGATTTGCTGCTGGAATGTGGTGTATATCATTTCTCTTCACATTCCATTTGCCAAGGGAAGCCAAGACTGACACCAGGGAGCCAGTGGGTTGTACTCCCACCACAGACAGGCGCTATGAATCGTATTGCAAGGGCAGGGATGGGTGGATAATCCTTTTACTGAAAGTCCAGCAACTCATCTGGAATAGTAATACAATCTACCAAAAAAAAAAATGCAAAGTGAAAAACATGCATCCAGTCTTGGCAGGTGTTATTATTGTCATTTTACAGGTGATGATAGCAAAGCTTGAAGAGTGACATGGTCATCTGGTCTTATACATGCTTTTGGAACTGAAACATCTGAGTAGCTCACCTCAGTTTATCTGCTGTGAATCAAGTTGTCATTAATAAAATGTTGTGGATAATGCAGAATACCTTCTGGCTTCTGTAGTCTGTTTTTGGAAGCTAAGCCCAGGAGTTTGCAGAGGGCTCACTTTAAGTCTAGCATATAAAAAGAAAGGAGAGGGCTGTGGACTGAAGTTAGGAGGTTAGTCCAGGAGCTCTGCCACTAAATACCTATTTAGAGTAGGAAGTTGTTTAGTGTCCCTGGGTCTCAGTTGTCCATTCAGGGAATAGTTAGAGAATGCAACTAATATCTTTCCTGGGTCTTAGTCCATTTTCTGTTACTATAACTGGTAATTTATAAAGAACAGAGGTCTATTTATTCACAGTTTTGGAGGCTGGAAGTCTAATAGCATGGTACCAGCATCTGCTTGGTATCTGGTAAGGGTCTTGTTGCTGTATCCTAACATGTGGAGTACACCACATGACAAGACAGGACAAATGTACTTGGGAATAGCTGGGGGTCTTTCTTTCTCTTTAACTAAATCCATTGATGGCATCATGACAGCCCTGCTCATGTTTTCATCTAATTCTAATTACTTCCTGAAGGTTCCACCTCCAAATGTCATTGGCACACACGTTTGAAGATTAAGTTTCCAATATGTGAACTTCCGGGGGCACATATTCAAACCATAGCAGGCTCTACGAAGTTAATATCTAATTTCATTATTCCCAGTGAATCTTTGGAAATGTTGTCCTTTAAAACTACCTCGGAAGACTTGATAAACTTCTTGTCTCTGTTCGTTCATTCAAAAGTAGATGGCCTGTTCTCTGAGCCAGGCTTTGTCTGGAGGCACAGAGATGGTTCATATCCAAGCCTTTATTTCTAGGAGTTCGCAGTCTACTGAAGGGGACCCACAGGGATATGAATAACGGTAAACCTGAGACAAGTGACCTACCTGTGAAACAAGGTGTTCAGGGATGTAAAGGAAGTATATACAGATGCTGTATAACACCTGGAGGAAGCAGCCTTCTCAGCCTCAGTGTGGTGCTAAGTGTGTGTGTGTGTGTGTGTGTGTGTGTGTGTGTGTGTGTGTCGGAAGGGCAGCAGGGAGAGATGGGGGTGGAGCAGTCAGAGGGGAGGAGATGATGAATTCAGGCTGGGAACTGTGGGACATGTGAGAGGAAGGATCCAGCAGAACCTTGGACTCTGGGACTGAGGTTGGAAGGAGGTTGTGTGCCAGGGGACGTTTGCTCACTTTTACCATGAAGCACATGTTCATTGTCCCTGGATGTTGGCCCAAGATCAGGGCCCTGAACTCCCAGCAGCTTGACCACACAGGGTGGCCACACACACTAACGTTTCCCAGCAATGATACAGCAGGGAACTGACCTCCACTGGGTGCACCCCTGTATAAGTTGGCCCTGAAGGAACAAACGTGCAGCATCAATTCCTTTTTATGGCCTTGTCTGATGCTGGAACAAGTAGAGAGGGCACAGGGTCAGCCCTGGTGCAGTGCAGACATAAATCAGGCAGCACCCTGCTTCCTGAGGCCCCTGCCAAGGAAGACAGGACCTGCCCAGATCTAACTGGTATCAATTACAGGATATTTCTCTGCCTGCTCGAGTTACTTCCACAGAGTTGTACAGGCAGGGGCCCAGGAGGCCCTGCAGAGAAGCAGCTCTCAGACTGTGTCCATGACAAGATGCAGAGCTCTAACTTGGACAGGGTGAAGGGGAGGAAGGTATGTGAAGAAGGTAAAAATAATGACAGCGAAACAACAACCTCTCCATTCATTGACTGCAACAAGCTAACCACTTTACATGCATTATTTCATTTTAGCATTGCAACAACCTTCTATGGTGAGATCTACTGCTGGCTTCATTTTATGGGTGAGCAAACTGAGGTTTGTGAGGTTGAGTGACTTGCCCAGGGTTACTTACTCAGGGAGTGGTGGACCCCCAAATTCAAATCCAAATTTGTTTGCCTCTAGAGGCTGAGTTCTAAAAACGATGCTTCAGGTCCAGACAAATCATTTTTTGGAATCACACAGGTTTGGATCAAATCCTGGCTTTGCCACTTCCTAGTTAAGAGCTCTGAAGCAAGTTACTGAATTTCAGAAGCCTCGGTTTTCTCATCTGTAAAATGGGAATGGCACAGCCTGCCTTGGAGTATTATTGGGAAGATTGAGAATAATGTATTTAAATACTCAGTAAGTGCTAGTGATATTGACATCACTGCCATCCCTATCCTTGCCTCTGACTTTTGTGGATAAGAGAGTGTGTGTGCCAAGTCCTGTGTGTACGAGAGAGGCAGTATTTGGAAACCTAAAAGTGACTTGGTGTGGTTTAACATGATGAGAGGGGTAAAGTAACAGAATTGAAAGCAAAAAGTAGAAGGAGGCAGATCATGCAAGGTGGTTTTATAACCATAATGAGGACGTAAGGGCATTAGTCTGAGGTCAAGTGGAATCATCGAAGCATTTTATCCAGGTAAAAAGTAAAGTACTTGGGCTTACATGTCTTGTGCCAGGCCTGAGGGTTACAGAGCCCCCCTTGCTCTTCCTACAGCCATGGTAGGACCAAGGATATAGTAAGTGTTAAAAAAATTACTGAGCACATGGCCCCAAAGTTGCTGCTTTATGTAGGCTTGCTTAATTATGAGAAACAGGGGTACACACCTCCTAGCTCAGGAAAGGTCACACATTTTAGGAATAATTGTGGATGATGTTTATGCAAAGCCAAGAGCAGAGAACAGAACTGGGAGGTAATCCTGGAAGAAGGCGGCTATGGGTCCTTTGCAGACAGGATGCATAGGTCAACAGCAATGCAATTTGCCTGCATATCCCATCCTACTTCTTTCCTACCTGTGGGCCCCTCTTATTCTTAGTTTTGGTTTCCCTAATGCTTCTGCTTATGCACAGTCCCTTGTAGTCTCACTGGCTTCTTCTATGTTATGAACTCTGTCTTAAATTTTTTTGATAAGTGAATCATCATCATTATTATTGTTATTATTACTTTAGTACAAAGTAGAGAATAGGGAATCTAATTAGCAAAGTCCACCTTTTCACACAGCCCATCTGGATGAGGGAGGTATGTACCTTTGAATAAAATCAGGATACTGTGAGATCAAAATAATGGAGGGGGAACATTGTTGGGATTGCAACCAAAAGTGACCACTATGTTACACAAATAACTATCTAATCTTATACTGTGAAAATTTCTTTGAAGAGGTGTAGGTTTCTATAAGAGAGTGTGACAGGAAGACATAATTTAGATTGAGTAAAGGTAGGAATTTCCAAAGGCCTTTGGCTTGTCTGTTCTTGAGTTAATTACTTAGAATACAGGCTAAGTTGTTATAATAAAAAGTCTGGTAATATACAATAGCTTATCTGAGGTATGTATTTATTTTCCTCACAAGGATAGTTCAAGTTGATGGGTTTATGTGAGGTCCCTTAAAATGAGGCCTCCATCTCAGTGTTTGCAGCACCAAGTGTGTTCATATCCCTGTGGCAAGGACCCAGATTGCCACAACTAGCTAGAGGGGAAGATGGGGAATGGAGAGTCCCCCTTGGTAGCCATGTTCTCTATTAAAACCCTGGGAGGTACTGACAGAAAAGGAAAGAGGGAGGGGAACTCACTGAGGGCAATTTCAAGTTCCTGTTGTAGGTTCCCTGCTCTTGGGGGAGGAGATGAAAAATGCGAACGGCATTGATAGCTAAATGCAGTAGAGAAGTCCAATAAAATGAGAAAAAGATGCCCACTGAACTTGGCATTAATGAAGTTCTTAAGGCCTGCAGGGAAGGAGTCAGATCCCTGGGGTCTGAAGATGAGAAGTGAGGATATGGAAACAGAAGTAGAAGACAATCTTAGATGAGCGGATAAAGAAAATGTGGTATTTGCATACAGTGGAGTACTACTCTGCTATAAAGGAAGATAAATTTGAATCATTTGGAGGAAAATGGATATACTTTGAGACCATAATGTTAAGTAGAATAAGACCTTCTCATATAATAGAAACCCAAAATCTAAATAAATAGCACAATAAAAGATAGATAATAGGGAACAGGAAGGCAGATCTTAAAGAGGAAGGGAATCAAGAGATGGAGGGAGGGGGCAGAAAGAAGGGAAAGGGGATGAACAAGGAATTAAGATGTATCATGTTTATGTACCAACACCACACAAGGAATGTGCACACTACATGCTACAAACATGTACTTAATAAAGAAAACGATCTGAAAAAAGAGTAACTTAAGAAGAGAGGGAAAGAGAGGCAGAAATAGTCAAATGTAGAGCAAAAGAACAGAAGTTGACTTTCTTTTCCTCCCTCCCTCCCTCCCTTTTCTGGTGCTCTACCACTGAGATACACCCTCAGCCCCTTGCTTCTCAGTGGAGGAGAGTTTAATAAAACGAGAAAGAGGGAGTTACTGCACTGTCCTGGAGAGAGGCAGCTCTCAGAGCAGACAGAATCATCTCAAAGGTGCGGAGTGCAGCCTTGAACAGAGAGCGAAGCCTTTCCTCTGAGATGAGAGAGTGGGTGTCGAGGTGATGACATTTGCGGATGTGGGGTGGGGAAGAGAGTCCAGCCCCTCCGGCCTGAGAGCGCCTTTCTCTGTGTGAAGCAGGAGGGAGGGGATTTCT